CAAGCAAAATAATGTGTACCTACGCACGCATAGGAATTGAACAATTTGCCAGATTAGGCAGCTAGCAGAAGCACCACATGATTAAGATTCACCGGTTATTAACTTAACAACTACTGAATGGGCATCAACCCCACATTTAGCTGGCTGTTCTCCTGACTGGTAAGAGGCAAGATAAGGTTGCTGTGTGAATGAGCCCTTAATATTAACACAGCTGTGTTTCACCACCTGATGGAAGAATAATATGATAGCTTAAATCACTTCCTGACAAAGTCTCTCACACACACACACACACACACACACACACACACACACAAACTGTTTTTCCTGGATTTTTCCAGTAGGATCAGCGAACTGAGCTAAAACAATCGGATGCCATCCGATGAAGTGAGCTGTAGCTCACGAAAGCTCATGCTCAAATAAATTGGTTAGTCTCTAAGGTACCACAAGTACTCCTTTTCTGATCTGAATTGTGCAACTCTAACTCAGATTGGGGAACATTTATTCATACTAGTTGTCAGTGGGTGTGGAGAATGAGTATGTGGTAATTACCATGAATAAAGGTTGCACAGGTGGGGTCACTATGCACATCAGATTCTGCACCGTAAATATATGGATTCTATCCCAGTATGATGAATATAGTAAGAATACTGGTCTTGATCCTGACTCAGCAGAGCACTTAAGTATGTACTTAACTTTAGGCACATGAATAAGTCCATTATACAATGGGCCTACTCATGGGCTTAACATTAACTACATGCTTAAGTGCTCTGCTGGATCAGGACCAGAGTACTTAGCACTTTGCAGATATACAGTATCTTCTCATTTGGGTCAGGATTAAGAGTAATTTGCCTTTTCTATAAAATAACAGGTACAGAACTGAAATGTGGATGAATAGGAATGATTTAAATGAAAGATATATGTCTAGCTACTCTCAGGACATCAAGCAGCTTTATGGTAATTTCACTGCCTATTTGAATTCTCTCAGAAGTAACAATTCAATTTTCAAGACCACTCAAGTATAAAAGATGGTGAACTGGATCCTGGCCTGTGATAAGGCTCCTTTGTGCCACTGCAGCAACACACAGGAGCCTGAGAGCCAACTTAACTGATTACATGGAGACTCTTCTAGGCAAGGGAATTTGGAGGCACTATATCTTGCTCTGATACCTAGGAACCTTCACTCACCCTAAGGTTTCTTTACCTTAAACCCAAATTACATGCATCAGCATCTCACTTCGTGCAGGTAGCGAACAGATAAAACTGAGTTTTTACTTTTGTGGGCCAATGTTGCTCCCATTAAAATCAATGAAACTCTGGCTATTAAATTCAACAGAAGCAGGATCAGACCTTAATTCAGGTAGGTCAACAATAAAATATTCATAGACACAAGCAGCATATTACACGTTGCTCTCCACAGGGCATATCTAACACGTGACCGTTCCCTGCTCTTTGACTTTACAGCATTTTAGAGAATAATGAAAATAAAGTTGCAAGGGATACCTGATATTAACTAAATAAATAGGTACTAGAGATGTGCCTGAGGGTGCAAAGTTTGCACACAAAATTGGATCTGAGGTCTTAAAAAGTGCAGGGGTATTTGGATGCTCGGTTCTGATTCAGACTCGGCATAACAACATTAACTCAACTGTTTCATAATAATGCTAACTTTGCTTGCTAGTGTCTTCCACTCTGAAAACATAATTAAACTCACAAACCCCTGCTGGCAGGCAGGTAGGTATTAAATAATCAGCCTTAACATGATCTTTCACAGCAAAAAGGAGACCTTTATATATTAGGGTACAAACAACAAGATAGAGGGGTCCTGATCCAAAGCCCACTTTAACATCCGTGGAAATCTTTCCATTAACATCGATGGGCTTTGGCTCAGGCTCATATGGTTTATAATTATGTTGGTATCCTAGATCTAGAAGGTATTTTGTGATTCTTTATCTGTGCAATGCAACTGTATATGTATCACACTGGATGCTTTTGCCTTAAGTTTAAAGATATTATCACCTTCCCTTCACTCACTAAAAATACTGCACCACCTTTTTCTTTTAGTCTTTCTGAAAAAGAAATCATTAAGGAAATCCTTTAATTAAGAAAATCCTCAAGAGCAAATGACAAGAAGAGCTGGATTTTAGTGCTTTGCATTTTCTCGTCTCCCCCCCACCCCCCGCCGAGGGGGGCTACTTTTAAAACTTTGTAGAGCTTGTCATTGTAATTTATACAGTGCTTTATTGTAACATCTCAATGTCACCTCTCCTCTAATCTTGGGAGGGTTGTCTGAAAATTCATTCAACTGCAGGTGGCAATTTGGCCATACAGATTTTTCCTTACTCTTATTTTTGGTGTCATAATAAGTTTGTTTGCTATTATAACATCTACACTATACTGCACAAGCTGAAGTGATGATGCATTATTGACTAACATAATTAATAGATTTAACTAACCAGTAATCACCCAGAACACATTTTTTTCAATCTCCTCTCATCTTTGGTAACACTAATACGATGGAGAGGACAAGACCCTTGGCCTTTGAGACAATGGTTACATTATATATTAGGGGTGGGCAAACTATGGCCCACAGGCCGCATCCGGCCCGCCAGCCGTTTTAATCTGGCTCTCAAGCTCCCGCTGGGGAGTGGGTCTGGGGTTTGCCCTGCTCCGGCGCTCCAGCCGGGAAGCAGGGTCAGGGGCCGCTCCACACGGTTCCCAGAAGCAGCGGCATGTTCCTCCCCCGGCTCCTAGGCGTAGGGGCAGCCAGGGGGCTCTGCTCTGCTCCCGCCCCAAGCACCGCCCCTGCAGGTCCCATTGGCCAGAAACCACAGCCAATGGGAGCTGCAGGGGCTGTGCCTGTGGATGGGGCAGCGTGCAGAGTCTCCTGGCCACGCCTCCACGTAAGAGCTGGAGCAGGGACATTCCACTGCTTCTGGGAGCCGCTTGAGGTAAGCGCTGCCCAGAGCCTGCACCCCTGAGCCTCTCCCCACACCCCAACCCTCTGCCCCAGCCCTGATCCCCCTCCCGCCCTCCAAACCCCTCAGTCCCAACCCAGAGCACCCTCCTACACCCCAAACTCATCATCCTCAGCCCCACCCCAGAGCCTGCACCCCCATCCGAGCCCTCACCCCCTCCCCACATCCCAACCCCAATTCTGTGAGCATTCATGACCTCCCATACAATTTCTCTTCCCAGATGTGGCCCTTGAGCCAAAAAGTTTGCCCATCCCTGCTATATACAGAGCAGAACGTCATATATGTATTTTTCTTTAAAAAAAAACCCCAGAAATTGTATCAGATTATTTCTTTATCTTTGGCTTAAAATACTCCAGGTGCATACAGACAGCAGTTTTTAGTATGGCTAAAATATTTGCACTGACAAGCACTGAAATGCATAAAGAATATGACAAAACATCTTGGTGAGCGGCCCAATTTCAATGGCAATGTTCACTGAGTAAGGGTAGGCTAACCTAAAGGCAGTGAAAATTTGACTTGTCAGAACTCAGTGATTTTAAGTTAGTCAGCCTATGATTAATATCTTTAGTGTAAAGTAATAACTTCTCTTTTAAACCAATGGCAGGAAACTTGGGAGTTTCTTGCTTACTTTACAATTATGATGAAATGCCTTCCACTCTGCTCCTTCAATCCATTACAATAGCAGAACAACTTAATTCCAGATACAAAGCTGCCTACAAAGTCCATTTTCAAAACAAGAACATCACTTTCTAACGCACAAGGGATGCTTTTAGATGTAGTCTGAAGGTAATCACATGGTAAAGGACATTCTACTGGGACTAGTTACAAAGAGAAACTAACATGTTAGTTCTTTTCCTTGTGCCATTTTCTGGGTGAAAAGATTGCAGATGGAAGTTGACTGGGTTTAGTCAGTGTCTGTCAACATCCAGGCTCTTTAACACTTGTCTGGGTACAAAGAAAAACTGATTAGTTTTGTACCAAGCTAGCCAGTACTCCTTCACAGCCAATTCTTGACACAGAAGGTCACTGACACAGTGAGTCAAAGCCTTTACACGCAGAAGAGATTGCAGAAAGAAACTGATGAGCATCCTATTCATTTTCCTTTGCTTTCTGCATGTGCAAAGCATTCTGACTCTATAGAAATGGCGATGGGTGCCAATGTGCATAGATGACAGAGGACAAAATGATAAAGGAAGACAAAAGGAGCAAAAAGGGAGGAAAGAGGGAGAGGGAAAAAAAGAATAGAAACATGAAAGAGGAAGCCATGAAAAGAGATGAAAAAAATGCATTACTGGGAGGTGCTCAGATACTATCTGCACAGAATAGAATAAAATGATGCACAGACACCAAGCTGTATCCGGAGTTGTCTATCTGGTTGCCCAGGAAAAATTGCAGACACTACAAAGGATTCTGGGGTTTTGCTTAAGTAATGCATGGGGCACAGGTGCCATATCCCAGATTCAACAAAGGCGTCAGTGCATCTAGAGAGCCCTAAGGTTTGTGTATTACTATGGGAAGAGCTCCTAGGGTCGGAGCCAGATCTACATCCCCCAAATCACTGAGTACTGTCTGATGTTTCTCCAGCACTGAGGCTCCCAACCAGCTTTAAAGTTGATTTTTTCATTTTAGCATTTGAATGTTCGGGCCTGTGAACTTTTTAGGGGATGGGATTTTCCCATCCCTATTGGCAACATTGAAAGGATCAAACACTGATCAAGACAATATGAGGTTGGGAGTTGGTCACCTGACTCCCAATGAATTTCAGTAGGATTTGGGTACCTAATTCCCTTAGAATTCTTTGAAAAGCCCAGTCTCATTATATAAATTTGTCCCTAAGAAAATCGATAAATGATGTCACTAACAAGCTGTATATAAAGAGAGATGAAGTTTCTTTTCATGTTACTGATTTAGTGTTCCTCCTAGAAAGTTTAGAGCTTTTTTACCCCCTCTGATTATTTGAATCTCTCCCCATCATCCTCCATATGTGATAGAAACCGCTTACATAGCTTTGGTGCTGGTACTCACTTGATAAAGTACTTGATTCCATCTGCTGTGTAAGCTTCTTCCCATCCATAAGGTAAGCCTAAGGTGAAACAAAGAAATAAAATTACTCTTAAAGCTCAGAAGATACCATGAAATTACAGTTGGTATGGTAATGATTAGAATACTATAGCCTTTAACCAGGGCATACAAATATTACTTTCAAAAGCCTGTTACTTTTTAATAATAAATAACAATAATACTTATGTCCAATTAAGCTTAATGGTTTTAAACTACGTCACAAAAGTATGTTAGCCAAAACCTTAGTCATTATTAGTCTTATTTGCTAGTAAACTGACAGTCTGGTAGAATTTTAGGGTCTGAGTCTTAACAGTCTTGAACTTTGTGTTATCAATACCTATACAAAGAAGGTGTAAAAACAACCACTCTGATTTGCTAGTGTTTTACACCTACTTTGCACAGGTGTAAATGACTCCACCAGGCATGAAGCTGAGCAGAATCAGGCTCTCTCTGGCCTTTACAACCCTGGGTGTAACTCCTTGGAAATTTACTCGCAAACCTTTCTGAGACACTAAGAGCTAGCTTCAGAGAAAACGTATAGATGTTTCCATGCTAAGCACAATTGACAAAGTGCTACATGGGGTTTTCAGATGTGTGACTTCTACTAAAGTCAATGGGATTCATGGACTTAATGCCATAGCACTTAACACAGTGAAAGAAAACTTCTGAGAAGATGGAGTTGTTTATATATAATAACTAAGCTACCTGCTCTTTTCTCCACAGGTAATTATTAGAAGCAAGACTTTCTGAGACAGAACCTTGGCTATACACACTGGGTTTTATTTTGAATGTGACTCTGTGTGAAAGACTGTTGATGATGTGGTGGTATTGGGTGATATGTTTCAGGAAAGCCTTTCAACTTGACTTTTACCTGTGCTATGCTACACTTTTTTTTCTCTTTGAAAATTCAGTGGAAAAAGGCAAAGTTAAGAAAAAAAATGCCATAGCAGTAGATTATGTGGATTAAAGCCAGGATCATGCTCTTAGCAGACGGTGAAAAATGCTGGAGAAAGCAGCAAAAGTCCGTATGCAACGGTGAGCCTGCGTTTGAGCAGTAGTTTGTTATAACCTAGATAAATCAAAGTGTAAGGACCTGAGAAACAACCCTTTGGAGACCAGAGGCATACAGACATGCATGTATATTGTTCTGTGTGTGCTTTGATTTGGAAGGCATCTGGAAATCTTAGTGAGCTTGGAGTTACATTGTTTTGTTCAATCCTATCTCAAAAAGCAGCTCATCAGAACCATCTGTGAGCTTGCTGGATTGCACACAGCATACAGTCTCTGAGAAATTCTCCATACCAAGGCAGGCCCCAAGAGCACAGGCATTAGAAACCCTTCCCCTAACATATCCAGCTTCCTCTCTCCCATGAGCCCACCCAGGACAACAACCCAACTGGATCTCTAGCTTTGCCATTCCTTCATTCCAAAGGCTTCCAGTGTTTCTGCTTAGCTATCTGGGATGGGAAGCCTCCCAACCTCTCCGGTTGGAGCTGATCCACTTTGTATAAATAAATTATTCTGTGGGGGGTGGACGGAGAGAAAGACTCTACTGCCTGGTGTTTTGGGCACTCACCTGGGATACGGGAGACGCAGGTTCAAGTCCATGCTCTGAATCAGGCAGATCAGAGGCTTGACCCTGGTCTCCCATACCCCAGGTGAGGGTGCACGTGTCGCTCTTTTGCGGAAATGTCATGCTGGACCCGAGAAACTTTCCTGACAAAAACAATAAAAGTTTCCATTAAAAGTTCTGGTTTTGACAAATCAGAATTTTCCTACCAAAAAATTGTCAACCAGCTCTAGCCTTTAGTTCTCAGACAGGAACAGAGTTCTTTGCACCTGCAGAGGCACTGCTTTCAAAGGGTGTACTGAGACTACAGGTGGAAACGATTTTTTGGACACATCAGAGGCCCAAATGCAACTGACAGAACACAACTGAAAAGCAGCAAGGTGTGCCACTGGCTGGGCAGAAACTACACAGCTGGTGAAGAGAAGTCCTGAGTTGGCATATGCTGAACAACCCCAGTGGCCTCAGTGCTATTTAGGAGAGCTTTAACTAAAGAAACGTTCTGAAGGACATTTTCCAACCAGCTCTAACGAGCAATATCTCTGAGATTTGGCATTGTACATGGCACTACCCATGTCCATTGTATCTACTATAAATCCTCACAATCCACACCTAAAAACAATTTCACATACTATCCTTGGAGAAAAACAAAACCAACCCAGTACAGGGCTACTGATGTAGCCCTATATTGTATGGATTGGATGTATGACAGCCTCCAGCATCTGACTCCCACAAAGGGTGTGGGGGGGAGAGAGAAGGATGTATTAAGTTATTAACGTGTTGCCAGTGAATTTACCCTGGCATTCACCTATTGTGAGAGGGAGTAGATTCAGTCCTTCTGTGATCATCTGTATATATTAATCTTCCAAATTTTCTTTGAGAATAGTTTATTACACATATTATAGCTTGCGAGGAGGAATAAGGATGAAATTCCAACCTCTCTATATAGTCCCTTAAAACTGTAGTTATACTATTGTTTTTATATGCAGAATCATTTTCTGAAATCAGACTAAGTTTCTGAGAGACACAATCTTTCTCTGGGACTAGTGTGATCTAGACAAAATCAGAAAAGATGGAGCCCTTGTGATACGACGGGAAAAATCTTGGCCCCATTGAAATCAGTGAGTCCAGGATTTCATCCCACATGTACTTCTGCCTTCTGTGACCCTTCATCATTCCTGCAAGCATGTCACCACATGCCTGCTCGAACATCAGATAAAAAATTTCTGCACAATCACTGATGAAACTTCAGTGATTGATTTACTTTCACACTTTTTAAAGCCCTCTATGTCAACCTCTTCATTTGTCAGTGACAACCTCTCCACTGTCAGTGAAGTATCTGATTAGATACAAGCAGTTGCCTTCATGACAGAATGTTCAGAAATTCTTAGGATCACTGGTCAGCCAAGCATATGAAGCAAATTGAAGAGAAATTGAACTTCGCAAATTTGCAGAGCCTCTCCACCCACCTTACTGTCTTAATGCCATTTATAACAATGATATTTTTCATTGCAAAGTCCAAGAACTGGATTTGGTTGATACACTGGGGGTTTGGCCAAGCGGTTTCATTTCACTCTTGTAAATAAAAATTATAAGCAGGTGACTTATTCAAAATTTAAAAGAAACCACAAAGTTTTCACGAAGAAAATTCCTGACAAGGGAGCACTAGAGCATTAATTATTATTTATGACTGCATGTCTCCTGTAAAAGAAGCTTTTGAGACATTTGCTATTGCTATAGCAATCTATTTTAATTTGGCTTCCTGACTTCTACTGCATCAAGTTAAAGCTCCTCTTAATCCAGCACTGCTGGTTTCATTTCCTATTTTTCACCTTTTAGCGCCTTAAACTCCTCTGATTCCTCTGTTGTTACTGCCCCCTTTATCCTTTTTCTCCACTCTTAGGGCTTTGTCTACACTTAAAATGCTACAACAGCTCTGGTGCAGCTGCACTTCAGCGTAGACACTACCCACACTGACGGGAAGGGTTCTCCAATCAGCGTAGGTAATCTACCTCCCTGAGATGTGGTAGCTAGGGTGATGGACGATTTCTTCTGTCGACCTGGTGCTGCCTACATGAGTACTTAGGTCGGCTTAACTACGCCACTCGGGATGTAGATTTTTCATACTCCCAAGGAATGTAATTATGCCAACCCAATTTTCTAGTGTTGACTAGCCCTCAGTTTTGTGCTTCCTTTTCTCATTGCTCCATCATGTAGCAAGGAGCTCCCATGTCTTGTTAGTTGTTTTCTTTGCACCCATTGCCCCTGGATATAACTTTCACCTCCTTCAAACCCACTTGTTCCACGTAATCATTCATAAGCGTATCTACTTATCAGTGCTATCTCCATACCCTCTTGGGTCAGAACTGTTGCCCGATTTATGTCTGTCCGGAAAATCGTTAAGTACTTCCACTCTCCGATTGTAAATGGGAGTTGAAGGTGCTCGGAAACACTCAGGAGTGTGTTCTGCAACCTAGATGATCTGGCCTACATAGAATAAACTCACTGAGTCTTACAGTTCTTATGCATTTCCTATTTGCTTTGTAAAGTGCTATATTCATTTGTGGAATTGCATAAATAATACATCTTGGTTGTGGGTGGCTGCAAATTCCCTCTTTCAAAAAAATAAAACTACATACAGCAGTTCAAAGATGAATTTCTTTGCAGCAAACAAAATGCAGAACTGTGCTAATTGTTTGTTACGTATATTTGAAGTTTTCAAATATAAGTACAGTAACATAATGGTACCTACAGTTGGAAAAGACCTATTTTATGATTTAGTGAACCCCTCTTTGTAGGAGAATCATTTCGATAGAGGACATATCAGAAATTAGACCAAGGAGAGATTTAAAATTTTTATTAAAGCTAATGTTAAAAAAATTATGTAAAACATAGGTTGAGAAAAGCTTGTCTGTACATCTGGGTATAGTGCTTAGATTATCCACAAATACAGAGTTTGTTTTTAAAAGACATAGAGTACATAAAGAGCAATAACCCAAATTTAGGTGAATAAAATTAACAATACGGTTTAGATATTAGAATCCAAATATTCGGGTACATCACTCATGAAGAGACGTACAGAGAGTTGGTTGTGGAAAGCAAAATCAATGAGTGGAGATTGTCCCTCAGTAATTGTAATTGAGGATTAGGAATGTTGTTCTGAGCTACATAGTCAAACACACCCGTGAAGTACGAGAACAGTCTCTCGGATGGGATTGCACAGTAAGATGAGAGCCCACCGAGGATCTCTCTCGTAGCCTTAGGGCGGTTTGACCGGTAGAGCGTCTGGATCCTAAAAGCTGCTGCTGGGTTGTAGCGGCGACTGATGTTCCTTCTCCTGGATTCTCTCCTGTGGTGGTGTCTCCACGCAGGAGTTCTGTGAGCAGTCGGTGCATTCTTCTGAGTTCCCTTCCTCCCAGATACGATTTCTGCAGACAGGTCTTTAGTGCATCTGT